TATATCTCTGTTGTAGAGCACTTCCTTAGTATACATGAAGTCTCAGGTTCCATCTCTAGCACAGAAAAGAAAGGGAGGGAGGAACAGAGGAAAGGAATATGGAAGGAAGGAAGGAAGGAAGGAAGGGAGGGAAGGAAAGAGAAAAGAAATTAAGATATGACTTTTTTTCATTCTTTGCATCATTTCATATTTTACATTTAGATCTCAAATCCACTTGGGGTTTATGCTTATGTATTATATAGTATGGATCCAAATATATCTTTTCCCCAGTGGCAATTTTGATACTTATTAAAAGTCCATTTCATCCTATGTGATAACATCTTTAGTGCATACTAAATTTCTAAATCTATAATTGTTTTAGTTTTGGGATATTTTATCTCCTTTACTAGCCTACCTATTTATGAGTCAATACCATATTCATTTAATTATGGTAGTTGTCTAACATGGTTTAATAACTGTAAAATCTAGTCATTCCTCTTATTTTCAGAATTTTTCTGCTTTGCTTACATAGTACTTTAGCATCAATTTGCTTAGTTTCAAACTATACTAAATTTATGAATTAACATTAGTAGAATTAATATCTATATTATATTGGACCATTTTGATAAGTCATGTTTTTACATTTATCTAAATCTACTTTTATTACTTTTTGGAGTGTTTTAAAATTTTTTCTTACAAAGATTCTCCATGTTTACTGTTAATTTTTAAAATTTATACTAGGCATCTTTTTCTTTGTTTGGTTTGTTTTATTTGTTTGTTTTGTCCTGGGGATGCAACCCAGGACATTGCACATATTAGGCAAAGGACTTGCCCTTTAGCTCATTGCGTTTTGACTGGAATTTTCTATTATATCTTATTATTGTTGATTATTGAAAAAGTTTGAAATACACATTAAACAAAGTAAAAAAATGAGAACTGAGAAAATATTTGTAATTTATATCATAGAAATAATTATTATCTATAACATGATTTCTGAAAAGAGATTCTTAACATTCACCATAACTTTATGAGAAAAGGAAACAGAGATATGAAGAGATTAAAAAAAAAAAAAAAAAAAAAAAAAACAAAAACAAGGCTAGGGATTTAGCTCAGTGGCTTAAGCGCCTGCCTTGCAAGCAGGCAGTTGTGAGTTCGATCCCTGGTACTGATTAAAAAAAAAATGCTTTTAAGCCAAGGAATAAATACTCAGTGTTACTCATGATAGAAGAGGTAAGAATTAAAAGTACAATAATACACAGTTTCTTATCAAATTGTCAGAAATGTATGAATTTTGAACTGTTTGCCACAGGGAAAACAGGCATTTTCATATACTACTTCTAGGAATATAAATCATTATCTTTTTGTGGAAGGGATTTGGCATTAGTAATATGCTATATACAGTTAACTTTTTTTTTTTCAGTTAACTTTTTAAAGACCAATAAGATATAGGAAAGTAAGACGATCTAGGAAAATTTAACCAGAAAATATTTTGAATGACTTATGCTGGACTACTTATTGAAAAGCTGTAGATTGGAAATAATCCATGGGTCTTTCATGAGGGAAATGGTTGACTAGCCTGTGATAAATCCCCACATTTATGAAATACAGACTAAAACAGTAATTTATAGGTTATTTTATTAAGTGGAAAAAATGAGGTTTAAAAGACTGTAATATTATGTATTTTATCAGGACCATTTGTTTGGCAGTAGTTCAGAAGAATAAAAATAATAAAGTAGAGAAAAATGAGGACAGAAAATACAGGAAATAGTTTAACAGCTGAATGGTGCACACTGTAAAGGTGTAACAAAATGTATCTAGATAGTATCTATACATTTAGAAATTATGCTGTGTATTTTTTTTCTTCAGCTCTAGAGATCAAACTCAGGGCCTCATACATGCTAGGCAAACATTGTTTCACTAAACTACATTCCCAGTGCTAAACAATATATTCCTTGGGTCAAAGCATAAACTATATTGGAAACAGAAGTTATTTTCAGTTGAGTGGTAACAACAACAACAAAAAAATATATCAAAACTTGTAGGAAAAAGGTATCTGGGTGTAGTGACACATGCCTGTAATGTCAGCACTGGGAAGGCTAAAGCGAGAGGACTGCTGAGTTTGAGGCCAGCTGGGCTATGTAGTAATACAGTTCAAGGTCAACCTGAACTACATAGTGAAATCCTGTATCACACAAAACAAAACAAAACACCCTTGAAGTACTGGAGTTGAAGTTCAGTGGTAGAATATATGTTTAGCATGCTCCAAGCTCTGGGTTCTACCCCTATCATGAAAACAAACTAACTTGTGGGAATAATTTGTTCAGACTGAAATTTAGATCCTTCCATGCATATAATTAAAAGACAAGAATCCCCTAAAAAGCACTGATCTAAAAATCTATTATAAGATATTATAAAAATAATTGCAGAGCCAGGTTTGGTGGTTCATGCCTGTAATCCTAGCAATCCTAATTTCTGTGCATTTCAGGCCAGCCTAGCTACAGTGAATTGAAGGCCAGCCTAAATTGTGCAGTGAAACCTTGTCTCAAAAAGACAAAATAATACTAATAATATTAATAATAATAATGGCAGGATAACTTCATGGAAGAAAGAAGATAGAGATAATAGAGGTAAAACTAGAAGTTAATTAAGAAACAGTAAGCACACAGAAGGTGAACATAATGTTAGAAGTCAATGAAGAAATAGAAAATAAACATATACTAGAACAATGAAGCTACAAGTACGTTGTAAAGATTTTTGAAAATGATAAATTCCTAGTAAGAAGTATCAGGAAAAGAAAGAGAGGGCTCAAGCTGCTCTTAGTGAAAATAAAGGAGACATTAAGATCTCACAGTAAGATAACTGAATGTTTTGAACAACTTTATATTAATATATTTGGAAGTTTAGGTAAAAAGGACAAATTACTGAAAAAATTTAACATATTAAATAGACAAAGTAGTCTTACATCCATATCTAATAACCATAAAGTCTTTGCATTGTAAAACTTCAGGCTCAGGTTTTTCTTAATCAATACAAAGAAATAAGTATGACCTTCCACAAATTCTTTCAGAAAACAGACTAAAAGAGAACATTTACCAATTCATTTTATGAGACAGCATGATCTTGATACCCAAGAATGACAAAATACTGAAAATAAAGGCAAAATATCCCATAATGAATGCTAAGTTTAAAACTGAATTGTAGTTCATTATTTAGTCTCATGTGGCCAATGAGCTTACTTGACTTTTTTCCCCCCAGTACCAGGGCTTGAATGCAGGCTCTTGAACATGATAAGCAGGCTTTCTACCACTGAACTATACCTGTAGCTCTGTTATGTGTTCTAATCCATGCCAAGCTTTGGATAAAAAAATAGTGAGATAATTTATATGTCATCTAATTGGTACATATATGACCTGGGCCAGTTCACCCCTTTGTGGACAACCTGGTCTTCTGCTCCTGGAGGTCACCATATTGATGCCAAACTTAGTGGGCACACTTGATAGGCATAGTGCATTGCAGCCCACAACTCCTGGACTCTAGCAATCCTCCTACGGCAGCCTCCTGAGTAATAGCTGGGACTAATGGCATGAACCACCATGCCCAGCAACGAAATTATATAGCTAGAGATTACATAGTTCATAAGCTTGAGGGCCTAAAATATTATTACAGGACTTTAGAGAGGAAACCATGTTTCTATGAGTTTAACAGTCTTCCCTTTCTAAATACTATTAGTAATACAAGCCAATATTCTTTAGAGAATAGCTAAGTCCATGTTTGTTGCAAGAGAAAATAAGACTGATCTATAATACACTATTGTACAGGAAAAAAAATACTTTCCACATTGGAGATGTAGCTCAGTGACTCGGTATTAGAATGCGTGGCAAGCATATACAAGGCTCCAGGTTTGATCCCTAGCTCATCCCTTTGCCTGAAGAAAAGCAAGAATACTTTTTAAGATGTCTGCACATAGATCCTAAAAGAGATGCCAGATTTTAATAGCATTTGTCTTTGTCACTTTCTTTATGCCTGGGACAAAATATCTGACACAGTTTAAAGGAGAAGTTTATGTTGCCTCATATTTTCATTCTATAGTTGATTGGCTCCAAGGTAGAAAAACACTGTGGAAGGGCCAAGTGGAGGAAAACCTGCTCAACTCCTGGAGCTAGGAAATACATCGGGAAGTGAAGGGAGGTAGGAAGGGAAATAAAAGGGTTCTAGGCCACACCCTCAGAGATCTGTTTATTCTGCCAGACTCTGCCTTCCACAGCAAACCAGTTTTACTGCCCCCCTAATCCACCCACTACATGATGTTCCAAACATATGATGGGGGGGGGTACGTTTTAGTTTTAAACCATGATTTCTGTAATTGGCCCAATTTTGACAATTCCAACATGAAAAGACTATGATTAGAGTGACTCAAACCAGCCAAATCTGTAAAGGTATAGATCTATAATGCTTCAAAAGAGCAAATAAATTGTGTTCAGTAAAATCATACTTATTTGTATTGGTCATCTTTCTCTCACTGTGACAAAATACCTAGGAAAACCAAATTAAAAGATAAGAGATTTATTATGGCTCATGGTTTCAGAGATTTCAATGCCTAGTCTGCTGATTCCATTGTTTCTGGGCCTGTCATGGAGCAGCACATCTTGATGGAAGGACATGACAGAGGAAAGCTGCATACCTTATGAGAACTAAAAGCAGAAGCACAGTGATATATTTCTTCCAACTGGGCCTGCATCCTAATAGTTTATTCAGCTTTGAACTCATCAGTGAAATAACCCAACCCATTGCTGAGGTTAGCACCTTCATGATTCAGTCATCTCCCTAGGCTTCATCTGTCAACATTGCTGCTTTGGGGATTGTCATCTAAGGCTTATATCTAGATATACCTCCAAAGCCTCATGCATACAGAGGTGGGGCTTTTTGGACTGACTGGATCATAGGTATGTAATACTGGATTATGGATGTCTGATAACTAGATTGGTCCCCTAATTGGATTATTTTGGTTCTGGGTGTGGCAGAATGGATTTACTGAAGACAGAAGACTCATCCTGATGTGAGTGGTACCAACCAATAGTCTTGTAACCTGGATTGAATAAAAAGGGAATGAAACAAGAAGGAATGGTGCTGCTGCTGCTGTTTCTCCTCTTATGGCTCCCTCTGCCATGCTGTCCTGCCTTGGAACCAGCTGACCATGGACTGAAACTTCTACAAACTGGGCTGAAGTAAACCTTTCCTCCTATAACTTTTGGGTGTCAGGTATTTTGTGCCAGCCATGAGAAAGTAACTTAAAACAAGGATCAAGGCTTTAATACATTAGTCTTTAGGGAATGCTTTATATTTAAACCATGAATATTATTTATGTGATTCAATCAACATATCCCAGTTACTAAGTAATGTAAAAGTATAGAACTCATGGTTACTGCCTACTTGATCACTTATCTAGGTTCAAGGAGTAGATTGTGGTAAAAAGACTTATGACACTTGTTCTTAGGTTGCGTTCAATGTAAGAACCTCCCAAATGAAAGTATGTTTTTTGGGCTTTGATTTTTTTGAGATGGGGTCTGGTTATGTTGCCCACAGTGTCCTCAAATTGAACTCTCAGACTTAAGTAAGTGGTTCTCTTGTTTCAGCCTCCAGAGTAACTAGGACTGTAGAGGTGTTCCTTTCCATCTGGTTTACCTGTATCTTAAGGGAACTTTGCAAGGAATAGTAGGGCCTAATTGGGACAAATACTCAGGAAAGGTTGAATTTTGAGATTTTTTTTGGTGGGGGGAGGTACTAGGAATTGAACCCAGAGCCTCACATGCTAAGCATGAGCTCTAATACTGAGCTGCATCCCTCCACTCCAAGATTTGAGATTTTTATAATTCACTTGCCTTTTAGCAAACTCCCAAAACTACACTAATTTTATTCCAGGTTAGCTGGCAAGCATTGCCTGGAGTCTCAAACAACAGAAATTAGGAAGCTATCGCACTGCCCTTATTGCAGAAGAATAAAGCAGATGCTAGTTATCTCTGAGAAAAAATACCCTCGTGGGCCAGGGATTTAGCTTTGTGGTATAAGCAACTACCTGGAAAGCATGAGATTATGAGTTCGATCTCTGGTCCTTAAAAAAAAAAAAAAAAAAACTCTGAAACTGGGCATAGCGGTATACATCCATAATCCAAGCACTTTAAAGGCTAAAGTAGGAGGATTGTAAATTTGAGGCCAGGTAGGGGTGCGTAGCAAGTTCAGTAGCAACCTACTACATAGCAAGATCGTTTCTCAAAAAAATAAAAACAAATTTGACTCTGCTTGGGATTACAACTTTGGGATTCCACAGGAGTCCCAAGTCCACAGGATTTTTTACAGTGTTTTCTAATTTCAGTATGTCTTAATTAAATGAAAGTTATATAATGCTTTATGTAACTCACTTTAGAAATTTACTATAAAGAAAAAGAAAATATTAATAGTGGCTGAAATTTTTATGCAACATGATATCCTTTACATTATATTATAAATATATTTAAGTATGTGGTAGAACCATATAAATTAGTAAAGTTAATTTTTAATACATATGTAGTTGTAGTATCATTTCTTCCACATTTCAATGTGCTTTTTTTTTTTTATCAGTACTGGGGATCGAACTCACCTGCTTACAAGGCAGGTGCTTATGCCGCTGAGCTAAATCCATAGCTCCTCAATTTGCTTTTTAAAAAATTCAGTCTTATATTTTAAAGCACAGTTACTATTCTCTTGTTGCTGGAAAACTTTTTAAATTCAGTTTACTTTTTTATTATAGTGTATTCACACATGTGTGTAGTACATAAAGTTTACATTCTTTATGAGAAGTTGGTACATATACATAACCCAGATTAATTCCTTTTTTTATTTCCATTCCCTTCCTTCCTCTACCTGACCTCCATTCATCCCTTGGAAAACTTTCTTATCTGCCAAACTTTAGAATATTCATTTACACAGAAAATAAAATAGTGATGTCTAACATGATAATATATGCAAAAAGTCACAGGTCCCAGAGAAGAAAATGAGGTGAAGAATTTTCAGGTCTGTTTAAAATGTGACAGCAGGATGAAATTGTTGGACAGTTCCAAAGATAACCATTTTATAAGAATGGAACAATATAATATTATATATTAGAATTAGTCATTTTTAAAAACAATTCTTGGTATGATAACATACTATATAGCTAGTAGAAATAGGAATTAGAAAAACATTGTTCCCTAGATTTAAAAAATGCCATTAGCATTTTCAGTCTTTGGCCTTCATTGCATAAATATATCAGGTCATTTACAATATGTAAACTAGTTTTACTAATATCCTGTTAGTTTAATCAATATCTTGGTTATCTCTGGGGAGAAAGTGGCACTGACTGACCATACTCCTGATGGGTTCAGTGGAGCTACACAATTTGTTTCTTTTATATAATTGATAAAATTGCTAATTATATAATAATTACTATAATTTGTTTATTTTCACCTTTTGAAAATTGGAACTCTTATCTCTGAATTCGTTTTTAAAGTATTATCTCCTGGGATTGGAGATGTTGTTCAGTGCTAGAGTACCTACTATATGGAGTCCTTAGGTTTATTACACAGCACCCAGGAAAGAATAACAAAAAATTATATATATAAACTTTTCTATGTGTGTGCTTATACGTGTATAAATCCCTCTAGATTCACTTTAAAAAGTATAATAGATAGTGCTTTCTAGAAAGTTGGTTCTTAAAATCCTATGCAGTTGTTAATTGTTTCATCTTCATGCATATCTTTTTCATGCATTGCTTTAAGATGATTCTTGAAAAGTGTTCCTAGCCAGGTGTGGTGGCACACACCTCTAATCCCAACACTTGGGAGACTGAGGCAGGAGGATTGTTGCAAGTTTAAGACCAGCCTGGACTACAGAGTGAATTCAAGGCCAGTCTGAACTGCATATCAAGAGCCTGTCTCAAAGAAGAAAAGAAAAAAATTGTATTCCTAAAGAACCCTAGGGACCTGATTAAATTATAGAACATTAATGTAAATCAGCAGTTCTTATTCTAAACATTGACAGCTTACAAGTAAAGAAAGTAGTTAAGGGAGGGCTAGATATAGAGGACTGCTATAGTGAGTATGACAGAAAATAAAGAAATGAAGCATATTGATTTTCAATTTAGAACAGTGTGGACTGTTCTTGGAAAAGCAAGCCTTTATTACAATCTGAAATCTGAGTTAAACAGAAAATATGGACAGTGGGTTAAAAACAGCGTTTACGCACAAATGAATGATAATTCAAATATCTTCATTTTTCCATCAGAAAATAGAGTCCAGAAGACAGTATATCTCTTAAAAGCTCAAACAATAAATTGGTGAGCCCATGAATTCTGTGTTCAGTGGAAGTGTCCTTCAAGAATGATGGCAAGATTAAGTTAGTTTTATAAACGTAAAACTAAGAGAAATTTGTCTTCAGCAGACCTGTACTACAAGAAATGATAATGGAAGTTTATCATGTGAAAAAGAAATATTAACAGAACAGTTGGATCTTCTGAAGCAAATGAGGACATCAGAAATGGTAAATATCAGGATAAAAATAGAAGACTATGTTTATCCTCTTTTATTTTGTAACTAAATCTATGGATATTTAAAGCAATAATTATAACATTGACCTTTAGGGTTTTAATTGTATTTATTTCAAAAGTATACAGTAACACATATCTAGAACTATGAGAAATTACATAAAACTATGAGAGAATATGGTGTGTTGAGGAAGGTGATTAAAGACCTAAAGATTGGCAATTTAACAGGTAAAATAGATACACAGGACCAAACTATATTGCATACGACAGGTAGACTTAAGATTTAAAGAACTCAAGTATGTTAAAAATGAATGGACAAAATTATCTGAAAGCATTAAAAAGCAAGGAAGTCTATATTAGTATCAAGTTCAATTGCTTTTAAGACTTGAGGGTATTAGCAGAGATGAAGAATGGTCTTTATGATAGAGAATATGTTTCAGGAAAACAGTTATAAATGAGTGTTGAATACTATCTTAGAAATACATGAAGCAAACATTTAGATAATAGTGGTATTTAATATTCTCAGTAATTGATAAAACAATTAAAAGAAATCAGGAAAGATTATAACACTAACATAGAAGATAATAATAACACTATGAAGTACCTCCGCTGATAATCATAGAATGCTACATCCAACAACTGCCAAATACATATCTTTTACAAAGGCATGTGGTGTGTTCCTAAAGATAGACCACCTGGCAGAAGATAAACAAATGAATAAATTTAAAAACAATGAAATTTATATAGAGTATGTTTTCTTACCACAGTGAAAACAAAATATAGTTATTAAGATTGAGATGGGAAGATATCAAATATTTCAAACTTTATTTTTTTATTTCAAACTTTAATAAAAATTCCTAAATAAATGACAGGGGAAGAAATAAAAAGAAAATACTTTGAAGCCAGGTATGGTTGCATAGATCTGTAATTTCAACACAAGGGAGGCTGATGTAGGGGGGTCACTATGAGTGCCAGCCTAGGCTACATAGTGAGTTCAAGACCATCTGTAACAACACAGGAGGGGCCTGTCTCATGCAAAATGAAATAAAACAGAGCTTGGAACTGCATGGAAATGAAAGTAGAACATATCAAAAATTTGGAAAGGCAGATAAAGCAGCACTTACAAGGCAAATAGCTTTAATCTTAAATTAGACAATAAGACTGATGGTATAGCCCTTAGTTCAATACCCAAAGGAAGTGGGGCTGGTGGTCCTACAATTAATGACCTAGATTCTACTTTAAGAAGCTTAGAAAAGGCAAGGTAAATAAAAAATGTAATAAAGAAAGAAAAACAGACATCAGCCACACATAAAAAAATCAACAAAATAGACAAACCAAAATCTGACTCTTTAAAAATGGTACAGAGGAATGAAACTCCCAACCTACTCTACTATGTCTGGTACGAGTTTGTGTTCTCTACAAGCAGTGAATGAATTTTAAGGACAATGGAGGTTAAGGGTAGAATATATTTATTGAGAGAAAGAAAGCTTTTGTCTGAGAGAGACTGAAGGGGTCCCAAGTGCGTTGTCAAAGACTGTCTTTTCTAGGGACTTTTATAGAGTAAAATCATGGGGTGAGATGGGTTCAAGTTAGGGAAAACTGGGAACTCACAAGGCATAGAGGGGGCAATAACTGTTCCAGAAAGGGGTTGGGATGGTGACTTCTGACTTCCTTAAGGTGATAGAGACCTGTTTAGAATATCAGTCCTTAGAATATGGGTGCATTTGTTTGATCTTTTGTCTTGAGGCCTAGCCCACAGCAGATCTCTGTCTTTCCCACAGTTGCAAAGTTTCTGGGCTTCTGCACTGGCTCCTTTGAGGATTTAGCCCTGTCTTACTGCATGTACTATTTCTAACTCAGCTGTCTGAAACAAAAGTATAAAGAAAATTGACGTGTTAACCAAAATGATCAAGAAAAAAGAAAAAATACAAACTATCAAAGATGAAAGATTTATCGCTATAGTTTTTATAGGCCTTAAAAGTAATAATTTTGGGGGCTGGGGATTTAGCTCAGCGGCATAAGCACCTGCCTTGCAAGCAGGCAGTCGTTAGTTCGATCCCTGGTACCGATAAAAATGAAAAAGACAAAAAAAAAAGTAATAATTTTTACTTAAGCAATCAAATTCAGGAACTTAAGATGAATAAATTCCTTTAGAAAAACAATAGTCAAAATTAATACAAGAAACAAAAATCTAACATTGTTCACAAACATTTCAGAACACATGAGAAATAAAAATATTATAAAGCCAAATGTATTATTCAAACAGCCGTTATTACCAAAATCTGACACATATTACTGAAAAAAAAATTAGACGAGTATTCCACATAAACATAAATTTAAAAAATACTTTATGAGCCAGGGATTTACCTCAGCAAGCTCAAGGTTGTGAGTTTGATGCCTGGTACAAAAACCAAACAAAACAAAAAAAAAGAACTTTACACAATAGCATGTTAAATGAAGTAATGTATAAAACTGACGGTAAATGGTAAGAGGGTTTAGTTTAGAAATGTGAGCTCAGTTAATTGACATTCTGTTAATTTTTTACAGTAACAAAAAGAAAAACCATGCAGTTATTTCAAAATGTGCAGAAAAAGTTTGAAAAATTCCACACACACTTATGATAAAAATCAGATAAGCTATGAATAATAGGGACCTTCTTAATTTGATAAGAATATCTACTTGAAAACCTTCCTTTAACATCATATAGAGTGGCAAAACACTATTTTATTCCGAAGATTAGAAACATGGAAACAGTGTGGACATTCACCACTTACATTTAACTTGTATGAAATGCTGTTAAGTATTGAGTTTAATGCAAAGTAATAATCCAGAAACAAAAATGTGCAGAGAGACCTCAAAAGAAGAAGTAGCATTGTTTCTCATTTCAGATGATAAGATTTTTTACCTAGAATACCCAGAGCCTGCAAAAACCTGTCCAACAATGAGTGCATTGAATAGAACTATACGATATAAGACTAAAGCACAAAAGTCTGTGGGGTTTTTGTTTGTTTGTTTTTAGGGACATGGTCTTGCTATGTAGCACAGGCTGACCCTGAATTCTCTGTGTAGCAAGAACTTGAACTCATGGTGATCCTTCTGCCTCAGCCTCCCAGTGCTGAAATTATAGGTGTGTGCCAATACAACTAGCAGTTGTATTTTGTATTTGGTACACTCTTGGATTTTGTTTTCTTGGTGTTGCTGATTGAACCTAGTACACGCTGCTGCACTACATTCTGAATTCTGAAAATATGTTTTAATTGTGCCAAATGAATACTACTTAGGAAACGTATTTAAAAATCTATCCATAGTCTCTACCCAGAAAATTTGAAAACACTGATAGGACAATTTAAAATGATATGGGTTGTTGTTACTGTTATCATTGTCATTTGAGGCAGGATCTTGATGTGTATTTCAAGTGGATCTTAATGCTAGCCTCACACTTGTGACAATCATCCTGTTTCAGTCTCTCAAGTGCTGTGATTACAAACGCACACCACTACATCCAGTTTCAATGAAATAAATGCTGATATACCATCGTCATGGATTGCAACATTCAAGATTAGTGAGACGGTGCTTCAGATCACATTGCCCAAAATAACTACTAAACTGTTTGGGAAGGAAATGATAAATTAATTATAAAATCAATGTGGAAATTAAGAACAAAACAAGACAAGCCAATGCACTTTTTAAAGTGATAAAATTAGTGGATATATCCTGATTTCAAGACTTACAGTGAACACTCTGTAATTCTGTAATGTGAAATGATATGCCTAAGAACAATGGACAAGAATAGAGTTGTTTTAAATTAATCTTTATCAAAGATGCCATGTAATCTAGTGAGGGAATGAAGAGTCTTCAATATATCTTGTTGGTGCAACTAGCTATTCATATGTATAAAAAACTATTAGATTCTGCTTTACAATATAAATAAAAATTAAATATAAGTGAACTACAGATTTAAAAACTTAGCATTATGGGGGCTGGGGATTTAGCTCAGCGGCATAAGCGCCTGCCTTGCAAGCAGGCAGTCATGAGTTCAATCCCTGGTACCGATAAAAAGAAAAAAAAAAAAAAAAAAAAAAAAAAAAAAAAAAAAAAAAAAAAAAAAACTTAGCACTATGAATCTTTGAAGGAAAAAGTCAAGAGAAAACTCTTTACAGCATTTGAGATGGGAAAATTATCCTTAGAACTAAGAAAGCATGAACTATAAAAGAAATGTTGACTTTTTTAAAAAATCAAAATTAAACACTTTTCCTCTCTGAAAACACTCTTTAGAAAATCAAAATGTTGTGAATGCATAGAAAGGAAATTATTTATAAATATATACAGGGATGTGCTTCCAGAATATAAAATATCTTTAACAATTTACTAGTCAGAGGAAAATGGCCCACTTAAAAATGAACAAAAAGAAATAAAAAATAGTTTTAAAACAACAAACAAGGCATAATAACAAACAATTTGGGCAAAAATTTTGCTGAAACATGTCACAAAAAGATACATGATGGGTAAATAAGCACATGAAAATATTTTCAGCACCATTAGCCAAATATAAAATACTAAATAAACCCAAATTAGACCCTTTTCACATTCATTGAAATTGTTAACACTAAAAAAAAAAAAAAAAAATGATCTGGACATGGTGGCTTTCTCCTGTAAGTCAGTACTCTAGAATGCTAAGGTAGAAGGATTACCAATTTAAGCCTACCTTGGGCAGTGATAACCTGTCTCAAAACTTAAAAAATGGAAAAAAAGAACTTAAAAAAAAGGGAGATAGGGTAAGGATATAGTTCAGTGCAAGGCTCTGAGATACTAAGTGGGAAAAAAAAGACACTAAAAAGATGTCAGTATTGAAAGTCAGGATGAATCTGTCAACCAGAACTTTTCAAACATTGTTAGTTGACATGTAACACTGTACACCCTTCTTGGAAAATGGTTTGACAGCTGCTGCTTCTCCATCTCCTCTTTTTCCACTTCTTTCTCCTCCTCTTTGTCCTTCTGCTCTTCCAACTTTTTAAAAAAAAAAATAACAACAAAAAGGCTGGGGATACAGCTTAGTGGTGAATGACATGCCTAGCATATTTCAGTTCCTTTACAGTGGATCCCAATATTGCAAAATAGTTTTTAAAAAATTTTAAAGCAATAAAAGAAAACTGGATAAATTAGTCTTCACTAATGTAGATATATTAGGGAACATGGTAGAGTGGTGAATAGCAGAGAAACAGCTGCTTCAAGATTTGATGTCCAGACACTGGAATATAGTAGTATGAGGGGGGAAAAAAGGAGTGAAATGAGTCCCCAGGCCCAGGAAAAAATCTAAAGAAGAATTAAAGCCCATGGAGAGAGTAAAGAAAGAGAGTACAACAAAGAAGAAGAAAGTGATGAGCCCTGTTTTCTTTCTGAGCCCTGACTTAATGGATGGGAGGGGTGAATGCAATCTCTAGATGCATAACGATTACTGGTGACTACAGAGGCCTCCATAGAGACACTAGAGGAATGGAGTAGTGGACATGACAGATTCAGTGGCTGGTGAGTTATTAGTATTTAGATGTCCCCCAGGAGAGGGTGAATGTCTAGTATCCATCTTGGAGAGAGGCCAACGGAAATCAGAACTCAGAACAACTGCAAATTGGCTCCATCTGGTGGCTCCCAAATTGACAGGATCAGGCTACTGAGTTCCAATTAGGCAGCAGATCAAGAAGCCAAATCCAAGCCCATGAGAGGTCAGGGATCCAGGTGCAAACCAGTAGCGGGGTAAATTCAAGCCAGTGGAAGCCATGTGGACTATTGCAGACTGTACAAATTTAGTTCTATCCTTCCAGTCAGAAACCAGCCTGAATTGCAGTGGAACTAAAGGCACAACCTTCTTGGTATTATTCACTACCCCATAGTAAAGCTATTGCTGGCTTGCTGGGATTAATCAACTCAGAACTAGACTCTGTCTGCCCACTCTGTGTACCTGTGGCAGCAGAGGCACACCTTGAAAATGGATTTTTTTTTCTTTTTCGTTTTTCTTTCTTTCTTTCTTTTTGAGTTCTTTAAAAATTATTTCTTCTTGTTTTTACATGTGTGAACATAGTTTCTATTCTTCTTGTTGTTCTGTTTTGTTCTTATATTCTTTCTCCTTTTTCTTTCCTGTTTTCTTCACATGTTTCCCAAAGTTTGCATGGTGTTCTTTGGTCCTCCAGTTATGCTTTTAGTCTCTTCCTCCTCTGTTTATTGGTTTTGTCCCCCTAGTCCCTTTTAAATTTTCTCCTGAGGGTAAAATTGCCATATTGAGGTCTTACGTACTGCATACAATTTTTTGGTTTGTTTTATATTTTGTTGTTTAACCACAAATATAATTTATACAATTAAAAGCTACAAGTTAATAGTTTCCTCAGTTTATCATTTTCTAGACTATTTTGATGCTGTTGTTAATTGCTGATTGTACTGCTTTAGCCAAGGTGACATAACTGTTTTTCTTCTTGGTATGACAGGAATGAGATTGCCTAACATTATAAAAACTACTATATACCCAGTGGCAAAGGAGCAGGGACTAGCATAGGCAGCAACTTTTCATTCCCATAAATTGAAAAGGTAGGATATTGCAACACAAACACCCACAACTATCTCTGGATATCTCTGCGCAGTAATCATTTCCTAAAGGTTCTCAATACTAGTCATAAACCTGCTTGCCATAAGCTATTTACAAGCATCAACCCAGGAATTAAGCTCAAACAAAACAAAACAGAAAATGAGAAGACACATAGGCAAGATGCAACCCCAGACTTGCAACTCAGCAAAAGCAAACCCAGGGAGTAATCAGGTAGAAAAATTTGAAAGCCACCCATCTATCTGTACTCTCTGAAGTGCTAACAGCGGTAGTAACAAATCACATGAATGAGACTCTAGAAAAAACAAATCAGGGCCAGAGAGATAGCTCACTAGCACAAGTGCCTGCCTAGCAAGTGCAAGGTCATGAGTTTGATCTCCGGTACCAAAAAAAAAAATCACCAAAATAATTCCTCAGATTACTATAGAAATGGTAACCATAATGAAAGATAATCTTAGTGACTCTCGAGAAAATACAGATTAAAAAAAATTAGGATTAAAAAAAAAAAAAGAAAAAAACTTGGGGCTGGGGATTTAGCTTAGCGGCATAAGCACCTGACTTGCAAGCAGGCAGTCGCAAGTTCGATCCCCGGTATTGATAAAAAAAAAAAAAAAAATAGGAGTATTTAGGAAAATGATGGAAATCATGTATGCCCAACATAGGAAAGAAATGGAATCCATGAAACAGTCAAACAGATATCCAGGAGATTAAAGATTCCACTGAGGGTATATGCAGCAGAATGAGTTAGTACGAGGACAGAATATCAGATATAGAAGACAGGATTGCAATTAGCACATGAAAAGAAAGATTTTCTCAAACTTATGAAGGGTCCACAAGAAATCAATCCAGCAGCCACTAAATGGTGCAAAGAAAAATAATATGAGATTGATCAGAGTCAATGAAAAAAGCAGAAGATAGCAAAAATACCAGAATAAACTTGTTCATAGAAGTTATGGCAAAAAAAATTTCCCAAAAAGGGAAAAATAATTTGACACACCAGTAAGGAATACAGAAGTCCAGTTATCCATGATCAAAAATAAAAAGATCTATAGCAATGCATATAGTAGTGAAGATTTCAGAAATTCAGTACAAGAACAGAATATTAAAAGCTATTAGAGAAGATATATAAATCATCTGTACAAGAAAGTCTATCAGAATTTCATCAGACTTCTCATCATAAGCCTCAAGTCAAGAAAAGTTTAGAACCAAATATTTGAAGCCCTAAAAGAAAACAGTCTCCAACCTAACATCCAAAAAATGAATTACCTAGGAATCAATCTAATAAAGAAAGAAAAGATCTCTACATCAAAAAGTACAGGGGCTGGAGATTTAGCTCAGTGGCATAAGCGCCTGCCTTGCAAGCAGACAGTCGTGAGTTCGATCCCTGGTACCGATAAAAATGAAAAAGACAAAAAAAAAAAAAAAAGTACAGTGCTCTGACAAGGGAGACTGAAGAGAATATCAGAAAATGGAAAGATATCCCATGTTGTTCTTGGTTAGAAAGCCCATATATTGAAAATGACCATACTTCCAAAAGTGTTATACAGATTTAATGCAATCCAAATCAAAATTCCAACAGTGTATCTCACAGAATTAGAGAAAGCAATCTGAAAATTCATTTGAAACTAGAAGAGACCTAGAAAAGCAAAGGCAATTCTAGACAAAAAGACCTGATGGGTTGCATACAACATCTAACTTGAAATTATACTACAAAGCTATTATGATTAAAAAACCATATAGTACTGGCAAAAAAAACCCAAAATGAAACAAAAAACAATAAATTTCCTGAGGATCAGTGGTACAGATTGGAAGATGCAGAAACAGCCATCTTATCTTTGACAAAGGAGCCAACACCTTCAGTGGAAGTAAGATAGCCTCTTTAATAAATCGTTCTGGAAAAACTGACTTTCAACATGCTGAAGATTAAACTAGACCCGTATCTTTCACTATACCTAAAATAAAATGGAAGTTTATCAAATATCTAAATATTAAAACAGAAACTATCTGCTGGAAGATAGAATAGGTTGAACTCTTGAAGATATTGGTGTAGGGAAAGATTTCATGAACAAGAAGACTAAGGCAGGATTGCAATGAGTTTGAGGCAAAACTATACATACCCCACTATGAATTCAAGGCCAACCTGAACTGAATAGTGCAGGGTGAAAGAAAGGAAGAAAGTGAAAAGAAAAAAATGAAAAAAGTAGGATAAAAGGGAAACAAAGGTTTCTAAAGAAGGGGAAAGGGCTTTAAAGGATGGCACGGGGATGGGAGAGAAAAAAAAGACAATACAGGCATAAATTCTCTGTGATCACTGTACATAGCTAAATTGTACCAATAAATTTAATTTATAAAATGATGAAATGATGATTATAAAGTGCATGAATTGGAACATTGTGCTAATAAAAATTTTTAAAAAGAATTAGATGACAAGGCTGTTGTCAGTGACCAATGAGTGAGAGTACCTTTAAAAAAAGAGAAAACCTAAAAAAATGGATTCAGGCAAAGAAGACTAAGATTAATTGAAATTAGTGATAAATCAGAAGACAGGATAAATGGCACACAAAAATCTGTTTAAATAACAGGAAACTTCTGAATGAGGGAAAAGAATATAATATACAGATAAGTGAGGCATACAGAGCATCAACCATGTAGAATCTATTTTTTCTGACAGCCACAATCAAAAAAGACACATCATACTCAAAAGTCTTGGAAGCACAACATAGGAACAATATCTTTAAAGTAGTTAGAGAAGATATATAGGTCTGCAGAGGAGGAGCTGGGCAGATCTGGGGTGCCCTCACTGGCCTCTCTGCGTGTCTGGAGGACTCTGGATTTCTGCGCCCAGACTGCTGGAGTTCCCTCAGGCTTCCAGGTGCAGTGAAGGAGAGAGGTGGGTTTGAGGCTTGCACATCAGCCTCCCCATTCCCGGCTTCATTTGGAGACCTGCTGAGCTCCCGATAGGTGGGCTGGCCCACACTACCAGCCTAGCCCAGCCTGTTTAGCTGCCGCGCCTAGCCATAGGTCTGCAGAGGAGGAGCTGGGCAGATCTGGGGTGCCCTCACTGGCCTCTCTGCGTGTCTGGAGGACTCTGGATTTCTGCGCCCAGACTGCTGGAGTTCCCTCAGGCTTCCAGGTGCAGTGAAGGAGAGAGGTGGGTTTGAGGCTTGCACATCAGCCTCCCCATTCCCGGCTTCATTTGGAGACCTGCTGAGCTCCCCATAGGTGGGCTGGCCCACACTACCAGCCTAGCCCAGCCTGTTTAGCTGCCGCGCCTGGCCATAGGTCTGCAGAGGAGGAGCTGGGCAGATCTGGGGTGCCCTCACTGGCCTCTCTGCGTG